TGAGGAGTCAGGTCTTTCCCAGTTGCATTTTGAGTGCCTCCCAGCATGAGGGGCTCATCTTCTGGCACTATATCTGACAATATTCTGGTGCTGAAGTGTTCCATGCTTTTCATAAGGTGTTCAGTGACTAAGGATTTGGAAGTAGTCTGTCTCTCTTTGTTCTTAGTCGGTCTTCATCTGGAGCTGAAACCTGTCCACCCTGGGTGACCCTGCTGGTATTTAAAACACTCATGGCATAGCTTCCAGAATCACAGCAACACACAAGCCACTACAGTACGACAAACTGACAGATGAGTGATAGTAATTTCTGCATGGAGACCACATAAAAGGGATCTTAAGTTTTGTGTCTTTAAAATGTTACCTTGGATGTCTGGCATTGGGAGGAAGAGAGTAATCACTGGAAAGATCGCAGTCCTACGTGTGCAATGCTAAACTATACAACTTGTAGAAGACTACAGGAAAACTCAATGATTGGTATTGGCAGTGAATTTTAGCGACAGTTGTTTTAGATACAATACCAATAGCATAACCCATGAAATAAATAAAGGATGTTAGAGTTCATTAAAATTCAAGGCCTCCTCCTGTACAAAAGATATTGTTCAACAAGAATGAGTGGACAAGGCACAGATTGGGAGACAGTATTTGTAGAACGCTTACCTGATAAAGGCCATGTGTCTGACATACAAGGAACCTTGGGAGTCTAGTGGATTTTGGGCTGGGCTACTAACTACAAGGTCAGCAGTTTGAATCTAATCATTGTTTCTCGGGAGAAAGACGAGGTTTTCTGTTCCAGTAAAGATTTACAGCCTCAGAAACCCTATCCAGGGTCACTGTGCGTTAGAGCTGAGTTGGTGGCACACCACTACCACCTCCCACCATACACAATGAACTTATAAAACTCATTCATAAAAAACCCAACCCAATTAAAATGTGGGCCAAACATCAGAACAGACACCTCACCAAAGGAATATACAGATGGCATATGTTTTGTTGTTTAGTGCTATTGAGTCAATTCTGACTCATTAGCGACCCCGTATGGCGTTTCCAAGGAGTGGGTTGTGGGTATGAACGTCCACTCTTGCAGTTAGCAGTGCAATGCTTACCTTATAGTACCATACCAGGAGCCCCCAGGTGGCATACAGGCATAGGAGATGCTGCTGAACATCATATGTTATGGTTGTTGTTGTTGTTAAGCGCCACCAAATCCATCCAACTCATAGCAACCCTGTCTAAGGTTTCCAAGGAGTAGCTGGTAGGTTTGAAACACCAACCTTGCGGTTAGCAGTCTAGTGCTTATGCTACAGTCCCACACCAGAAGTCCTTAGGAACTTTCAAATTAAAACAACAGAGAGATACCACTGCGTACTTGTTAAGTGTCGTTGAGTCGTTTCTGACTCATAGCGACCCTGTGTAGGTTTCCAAGGAATGGCTGGTGAGTTTGAACCACTGACTTGTGGTTCAAGCCTACTTTGTGGTCCAGTGGTTTATTGCACAGCACCCAACTAGGATTAGAATGGCTAACATCCACAACACTGACAACACAAAATGCTGATAAGATGTGGAGGTACAGGAACTCTCATTTATGGCTGGTGGGAATGCACATGGTTCTACCACTTTGGAGGACAATTGGGCAGTGTCTTCCAAAAGCCCAACCATAGTCTTTGATATTTATAAAAATGTTTGTCCACACAAAAACTTGCGCATGAATGTTTAAAGCAGCTTTATCTCTAATTGTCAAACACTGAAAACAAAAGTTTGTTTATCCAGCTACATATTGAAAGACATCTATCTTTAATGGGTAGATAGAGACAGTGAGAATATCAGTGGTTGCCAGGTGCCCCAGGGAGGCTAGAGGCAGGCATAAATAGGTGGAGCACAGGGGATGTTTAGGCAGTAGAACTGTTGTGGGAACCCCAGTATCTCAATGGTTAAACACTCCTAACCAAAAGGTCGATGGTTCAAATCCACCACTGGCTCCATGGTGGAAAAGATATGTTGATCTGCTCCCATAAAGACTGTTGTTGTTAAGTGCACCCTTGAGTCGGTTCTGACTCATAGCAACCCTGTATATGGATTCCAAGGAGTGGCTGGTGAGTTTAAACCAAGCTTGCGGTCCAGTGCTGATCCTACAGTGCCACACCAGGACGCCCAGTGGAGCAGTTTTGACGCCCAGTTTGAATCAACTTTGTGACACACAAGAAAACACCAGGAAATTGTGTATGATACTGTGATGGTGAATATGACATTGGCCCAAACCCATGGGACTGTGTAATCCCAGGAGTGATTGAACCATGGTGTAACCTGCTGACTCCTCCTAGTAGTAATGTATCCGTGTAGCTCCATCAGTAATGTGCGATGTTGATGACAGAAGCAACAGTGGGCCAAGGGTAGAGAGGGCATCTGAGAAGTCTTTGTAATTTCTACACAGTGATTCTGAAGACATAAGATTGCTCTAAAAAATAGTCTAATTAATTAAAAGACAAAAAAAGGTGCAGACAGGAAGAAGACATTTTGCCTTGTGTGTGTCCCTATGAGTTGGAACCTACTGGACAGCACTTAACAACAACAACAAATGTTTGGTATTTAGAGAATGTGAGTGATTTCCTAAACAGCCAGACAGAAGGTTGGAAATCGATGCCTCTCTCTGGGATGCAAAGGGGTTTCTTTTGGGCGATGCTCTTCAGGGGCCATAAAAGAGGCTTCCGAAGAGCTGTCCTTTCTAAACAAAGCTGGAGTCGTGACTCTGTTCCTACAGAGTGAAAATATGGCCCCTAAGTGTCACACATTCACGAAGCGGTGTTAACCAAATGGTCTCCACTGGTAACAAGATGACAGGTGAATGGTTAACGATTGAACCTTTCCTGACTCTTCCCCTCCACTGCTAGGTCAAGGTTTTAAGTGGCATCTGTGACAAAACCATCCGGTCTACGACAGATCCTCTCTTGAGCCAGTGTGCGTGCTTGGAAGAAGTCCGTCTGCCTAACGTTAAACCTGGGGAAGGCCTGGTAAGAATTCCAACACTTGCTTTGTTCTCAGTAGTGGAGCACTTTACCCTTCATTGGTTATTTGTTTTTCTTTCTTACTGTTCTGTACTGCTTCCCCTATAATTCTGAGTATAATGATCTCCTATAAGTCTTTCACTATGTAAGGAGCTCTGCAGGTGCAGTGGGTTAATCATTGGTCTGCTAACCACAGTGCCAGCAGTTCAAACCCACCAGCTGCTCCCGGGGGACAAAATGAGACTGTCTGCTCCCGTCAAGATTGGCATCTCAGAAACCCGAAGGAGTAGATCTGCTCTGTCCTTCAGGGTCACTAGGAGTCCGAATTAACTTGATGACAGTTGGTTCTATTATGTAGTGAAGAACTCGCCAGGTTGAGTGAGCTCTATTTATGCGTCCTCTATCTTCAAAGTATAAAAGGAAATGCAATTTAAAAACTGTGCATGCATGTCTAGGAGGGATTGTTTTAGCAGTTTATTTTTAGAACTTAGCAATGCAAGGAGATATAAAACATTTACACAAATCAAAGACAGTTTCTGGACCCAATCTGCTCAGAAAGTCTCCATTAGCGCTGAAGGTGAGGTGGGGCTAGTTGAAGAAAGTGAGTTTTTAGTAAGTTCTAAGATATTTCATAAGTAGTGTATGAACTGTGCAATACAAGGGGCCTTCAGAAAGTTCATGTAGGGCAGGCTGAATGGGTATGGAAGGAAGAGTGGACTATATACGTGTATTTATAGTTATATATCCCACAAACATATAAGAGTTTGACAGAGGATATTAGTACATGGGTAACCACAGGGAGGAAGTGGGACAACTCTTGTTGCATGGGAGAGGATTTCAGTTATTGAGATGAAACAACGCATATGATTTGTTTAATGTAAAACTGATGATCTTGTCTATAAACCTTCACTCAATTTACAATTGAAAAAAAAAAAAGGCTCGTAAATATGGAATGAAGAGATACTAGAATTTTTCCATGAAAGTTTGGAAACCCCCCTTGTGTGTGAGCTGTGTAGTAACAGGCCATGAGAAAAGATACAGGTACCCTGATTAATTTGCTGAAATTTCAATGAAGGTGTGGTGAAACCCTAAGATTACGTTAGGGCCTAAGGTCTTTGAGACAGAGCCATCTAAATTGAACATTTCCCAGCTTTCAAGGGACTGAAGCTCTTTACCTATCACTTTCTTTACTTGTCAAACGAGACCAGTAGTGATGGCCCCATTGTTGTTGTTAGGTTGTCTTCAGCTCATGGGAGCTGAGGTGTACAGGGTAAGACTGCTCCATACGGTTTTCAAAGTTGTGCCTTTTTGGAAGCAGATTGCAAGGCCTGTCTTCCAAGGCGCTTCTGGATGACTTTGAACCACCAACCTTTCGACTAGTAGCCTCATCTTTCTCCTATGTAGTGGCTGATGGATTTGAACTGCTGACCTTGTGGCTAGCAGCCCACTGAGCTACCAGGGCTGCTGTTAAGGTCTTAGGAAGAAACATATTCATCTGTTTTGTCCCCCGTTACTATGAGGGCTTCCTGGGTGGGACGCTGTGATACTAACCAAAAGGTGGGCAATGTGAATCCACTCACCTGAGACACCTTGCAAGAAATCCCTGCCCATCTACTTCTGAAAGGTCAAAGCTATGGAAAACCCTATGGAGTACAGCTCTGTGTGGGGCCAATGAGTTGGAATTGACTGGATTGGACTTTAGGGGTGTTATTTTTAGCTTAGGGGTACCTATTCTACAAATCGGGCTGCTAATCTCATGGTTAGCAGTTCAAAACTACCAGCTGTTCCGTGGGAGAAAGATGAGGCTTTCTGCTCCTGTAAAGATTTGCAGCCTTGGAAACCCTGTACATGGTTGCTATGAGTTGGAAACGACTCCGCTGCACATAACAACAACAACATTCTAAATTGCTTCCCCTCTGAGCATGTCACTGGTGCATTCTGGCATGGCATCAGTGGCGTGCATAAGTCGCTCTCAATTACTGATGATACCAAATTTAATTGACTATATTGTGTCACTAAGGAGCTCTGGTAACATAGTGGTTATGAATTGGGCTGCTAACCTCAAAGTCAGTAGTTCGAAACTACCAGCTGTTCTGTGGGAGAAAGATGAGGCGTTCTGCTCCCGTAAAGATTTGCAGCCTTGGAAACCCTGTGCAGGGTCACTATGAGTCGGAAGCGACTCCACAATACTTAACAATAACAACAACATAGTGTGTCACTAGACAAAGTAGACGTGTGGTGCAATTGAGAAAGAGCTCAATATCCAATCGAAAGATCAGTGGTTCAAACCCACCAGCAGTTTCAGGGTAGAAAAGACCTGATGATCGGCTCGCATGAAGATGACAGCCTGGGAAACTCTACAGGGCAGTTCTACTCTGTTCTCTGGGGCCTGTGAGTTGGAATGAACTTGATGGCACACAACAACCACGGACTAAGAGATGGCTGTGGGAGAACAGTCCTTGTTTGGAATCTCGTCCTCATCCAGTAGGTCCGAGGAGGCCCCTTCCAAGTCCCTAGAGCTCTGTTACGTGTCCATCCACAAATGGTAGCATGTAAGAGGTCTCATCACTGCTTTCTTTCATGGGTCTTCAGTTTGATTAACTCCCCTTCACCGCCCTTTGGGTACGCTTTCACCGAGAGACGTAACCCTAAGCATTGTTCTGAGGGGTTCTCCCTTGAATGTTTTATAAACTTCAGTATCACTTGCGGCTCTATTTCTGAATGTTGGAGTAATGAGTTAATATGTTTGTGATTCCCTCTAGGGCATGTACATCAAGTCAACCTATGATGGATTGCATGTGATTACTGGGACCACAGAAAATGTAAGTGGAGAGAAGTGAAACATCAAGGCCAATGTGGTTTTAAGCAAATTTGACAGAAGGTCTCTACTTGCCATTTAAATGTATCTTCGCTGTTTTATTACACAATGATTTAACTGAGGGTACCTGTTTTGTTTATTTCTGTTGGTCGAGTCTGGCTTATCACCAGCTGTGGTCAATTTATTATTTAAATTGCCCTCTATTGTGGGTGTTCACAGACCCTGTCCAGCCTGTGTTAGTTATTCCTCTTGCATTCTGCAAGTGTGAAATCGTTGATACAGGAAAAATTCTTTCTTTGTTGTTGAGAATCACTCTTTTAGGAACTGGGATAGACAACCACATGTGTAAAGTGTGATTTTTGTTGCGGCTGTTTAGTGGAATTGATATTTGCCACCAAAGTAGCTGTTTTGGGATTTTTACAGACATGGATTCTTTTTATAGAGTTGTATTTCATAATCTACTTTACCAAGTATGATGTAAAGTTAGAGGGTCAATGAAAAAGAGGAAGACCCTCCACAAGATGAATTGATACAACGGTAGCAGCAGTTGTGAGGCTGGTCTAGAACCAGGTGTGCTTTCATTCTGTTGTATAGGATCACTGTCAGTTGTAATCAACTCCATAGCACCTATCAACATTTCATAATGTTTGGCAAAATAATAAAATTTAAATTTCCTCCCCACACTCCTTTGAGTAGCAAAAGCTGGGCTGTTTCTGAAGTGAAAAAACTTTGGCACATTGTGTACTTATTTCTGTAAATTCTGCAAAATACAGAGTGTTTCTTTAGCCATTCAGATATTTTGAATTTCTGGAAAGTAGAGCTGTTTCAGTGCTTTCTTCTTACAACCCACAGTATGGCCAACTTTCGATTAGCATGGATGTAAAACTCAGAATGTTAAAATAACTTCCCTGAATCTGTGTTCAAGGATGTATGGGTCTCTGGGATTTATCTTCTGTGTAATCATGGAAGAACAGATGGAGGGGAGGGAAATCTTAAAATTAGAGGAAATGTTGATAACTATATTTATGATCTGTTCAGTAGAAATACATGTCTGGTTTTGAACTTTCGTTGCTAAGTCTTTTGATAAAATAAAATGCCATGATCTTTGACTAGGGTTTGTGGACAAACGCTTGATTTAAAAAAAAAAAAAATTTTTTTTTTTCAGATCTTGAAATATTCTTTAATTAATTAATTAATTTTTTATTGTGAATTATGTGATAGTTTACATGGGAGAACATTGGTTTTACATTCATTCTATCGTATATCGTCTCATTGCCATGGTTACAATCCCCTCCATGCAATCCTTCCCTCATGCCCCCCAGGTCTTTAGCACACAGTCGCTCTCCCTCTCTGGATCTAGAGTCTCCAGCTGCTCCATTGCTCCACGTCATCATCTCTGGCTCCATTTCAAAACGCTTGATTTTTTATAGTAAGAAAATGGCATTGTTTTTGGCTTTCAGTGAATTATAAGTAAAACAATGTAGTTCTGGCAGACGAAAGAGTGATGAGCTGCAGTGAGAACCACTGAAATTTTTGTGACAAGTCACCTGAGAAGCGAGACTAGTAGAGAAATGTCTCCTCCTAGGCCTGGGACAGAGCCGAGGAAAGAAAGCATGGGGCATACGGTGATTCAGGCCTTCTCCTTCTCGGAGACACGGGTCCATGTCAACTGACTCACGACAAGAACATATTCATGTGTTGTTTACTCTTGGATGGAATCAGGATCGTGAAAGCCATTCCTGTAGCATGGCAACAGTAGTGAGGTTGGCCCAGGATTGGGCAGTGTTTCGTTCTGCCGTGCATAAGGTCGCTATGGGTCGGTGCTGACTCGATGGCACCTAACAACAACAACAACAACAACATGTGGTAAATATGTGTGCACAAATTGCCATTTCAACATTTGTCACATGTGCAGTTCAAGGATTCGTTATTTACGTGTACCATGATGTTCAACCATGACCACCATCCATTTCCAATATTTCCCATCACTCTTTATGCAAGCTCGGCGTTCCCTAGTCACTTCCATTTCAAAAGAGTTGAAGCTTTGTATCTAGCAGTTTGCTGCTCACATTGCTCACCAAATCTGCGCAGTTCTAGGCTGTCTCTTGGCTTCTTGAAACATTCTCAACCTTGAATCAACTCATGGGACACTAATATATTACTACTGGAAGAGATGTGCGGCTCTGCTCCTGGTCAGCTTTCTGGCGGTCCATTTAAGGGCAGCTGATTTCAGACGATAATGTTTTCATGGAAGCCTAGAACAGGTGATGGTGGATGGAAGTGGTCTCCTCCCTCCTCCGTCTTGGCCACCAGGCTGAGACCATGCCAGCAGGCCTTCTCTGACCTCTGCTGTATTTATTTTGGATGTTATTTGAAAGGCCTGCATCATTCCAAGGCCTGCATCATGCCTGCCTTCTGAATTTCTGATGTTGCTCAAGACCTTGACAAGAATCTTGACATGACCCCAGCCAGACACTGTACTCCTACCCCCAGATCAGTCTGTGCAGATTGGATGCCTTTTTCTGTGCAGATTGGATGTCCTTCTGCAGCAAACCAGAGCAAGCATCAGTTTGCATTAGTCCGGCTCTTGGGTAAGATAGACAAGAACCTCTGTCCTAGGTGGTGGGTCATGGCATCTGGCTCTCTTGATCAGCATTCTGCCAAGTGCACCTCTTAATGAATTGGTAGGACATTTGAGAAATGAATGCCCCACGATCCTTAGGAAGGAAAGTCACCTCAGGACATATTGGGGCTTGTTTTTTATTTTTAAGACTTTACGTGTATTAACAGGGACTTGGATTGAGAGTGTAAGGTGGGCATAAAGGGAAGCTTACTGTAAACAAATACTTCTATCATGTTTCAGCCCAGGCAGATGACCTGGACAACATGATACAGAATCGGGTCTACCTTAGTAGTTTGGTAACAGTGGGTGAAGCATCTGACACAGGAGATTTGAAAAAAGGAGCCGAGATAGATTTATTTTAAAAAAAAGTGTCTCACTGGAGATGGCCCAGCTCCCTGTGGATGGCACAGGGCTGGTCTCTCAGGTGAGGTGCCTCTGGTTGTTATGGCAACTGATGAGCTGTTTATAAAAATAGCTGTCACAGTTCTCTGTGCCTTGCTGGGGCCTAGATCCAGTGGGGGAGTGTTTCTGGAGCTGAGTGCTGTTTGCTCGTTTCTTGTTGAGCCTATCACAACAATGGAGTGAGAAAACTCAGCAAGTGTGCCTGGGCTCTGCTTGTGCCCTCCCACCTCTTGTTCAAAGGTGCTATTTTTTATGATAGCTCTAAATTGTTGGCAGATTACACAAGCCACAAATTAAAATGCTCTGGCCTAGATAACATTTGATTATAATTCGGAATGAGAGGTTTATCCTTTCATCCCTTTTTGGTCGTGTGAGAGGGCTTCAAAAAGTTGGGGTAAATTTCCATTCTTTCAGCTCCATTTTTAGCAAACTTTTAGAAGCCCCCTCCCTCATATCATATGTGCTGTCTTACACATAAGGGATTCTAAGTTGTTTACGTGAACAGAAATATTTATAGACATGCATTTAACAAATGTACTATATCCCTTTAAGGAGCCCCAATGGCTCTGTAGGATAAACGTTGGGCTGCTAATCACAAGATGGGTGGTTCAAACCCATCAGCCACGCCAAAGGAGAAGTATGAGGTTGTCAGCTCCAGTGAAGATTTACACTCTTAGAAACCCTGTCGTGGGTCACTATGAGTTGGGATTGACACGCTGGCAGTGGGTTTTAAAGTTTGTCATGATTCTAATATCTGTTTTTGTTGTTACTGTTGTTGGCAAGTGCCTCCGTGTTGTTTCCAACTCATAGCAACCCTGTATGGGGTTTCTGAGCAGCGATTGGTGAGTTTGAACCCCAATCTTGAGGTTTACAGGCCAGTGCCTATCCCACAGGGCCACACCAGGACCCCTTTACATATGTATTTATATATTTTTCCCTTCAGATTTGTGTCTAGTCACTATTTGGGAAAAACAAAGTCTGCACTTTGTTGTGACATTAAAACTCATTCACTTTGAATTCAACCTAAAAGAAAGAAAACCTAAAAATGTAAGAGAATACATTCTCTGTTGCTAGTTTAATAGAATTTTCATAGTGATTACTTAATGCTATTTTAATCACATTGTGATGACAAGGAACACAAGACTTGAGTACAAGTAAGACTGAGTTTGAATAGTTGTTTAAAAGGAAATGAAATGACAGTTACAAAAATGATGTTTACATGTTGAAACAATGGGTCAGCTTTTACAAGATTAATTTTAATGGTGATCTTTCTGAGATGAGCCCATGGCTTTTATCAACAAATGCACTGGGCTGCAAAGTTGCTTTGAACTGCAAGGTCAGGTGTTTAAGCTCACCAGCTGCGCCTTGGGAAACCCTATACAGGGTCGGAATGGTTCGGAACAGACTCGACAGTACTAATAGCATCAACATACTTCATACATTCCTTGTTCTGATTATTAGTGGATATTTACAGCTGTTTCTCCTCATTTTGAATTGTACCCCATCAACAAACGAAGGTCCTAAAAGCTTCACTCCATTCAAGTCATCATGGTCAACTCTGTTTTGAGGAGGCAGCTCTTCCCAGTCGCATTTTGAATGCCTTCCAACCAGAGGGCCCATCTTGCGGCACTGTATCTGGCAATATTCTGGCGCTCTTCTTCATGTTTCAGGGTTCCGTGTTCTGGTGCTGACAGTGTTTCACTCTTATTTATAAGTGACTAAATTAATTAATAAGTGATTTAACATGTAGAAGGAATCCATCTCTGCTTCTAACTAGCTTGTCTTAGTCTGGAAGCTCAGCTGAAACCTGTCCACCACAGGTGATCCTGCTGGTATTTAAAATACTCATGTCCTAGCTTCCAGAATCACAGCAACACACAAGCCACCACAGTACGACAAACTGACAGACGAGTGGTGGTCTGTCAAATAATTGAAGGGAACAGAAGTACAATGTCTTATTTCACCCCCCAAATTTCATTCTCATTGCCAGTTGTCTGTCTTGTCCTTTTCTAGAAGCTGAAAGGAATAGAGGATTTAAAAAACTTAAGACATGTTCTTTATTTCTGTTTAGTCTCCTGCAGACCGATCTCAGAAGATCCATGCTGGTGATGAAGTTATTCAAGTTAATCAGCAAACTGTGGTGAGTTTGTATATTGAGACGTCCGATTTAATATTCCGTGTAAGAATTTCCATTAAACCCAAGGCCATTTTGTTTGTATTTTTAAAATGTGCCATCTAAATGCAATCTTCTACTCTCTTAATGAATGCTCAAAGAGCCTTGGTGGTGCTGTGGGTTAAGTGTTGGTCGGGTGTGACTTAGACTCAAACCCATTGTTGCTGCTGGTTCAAGCCTACCAGAGCTCTGCAGGAGAACTGTGAGGCTGTCTGCTCTTGTAAAGGGTGACAATCCTGGAAACCGTAAGTAGGGTCACTATGAGTCAGAATGGCAGTGGGTTTGCGTTACTAGTGCTAAAGCGAACATATTTTTATCTACCTCTTGACTCGTGGAGTCCTGATGTGGCGCTGTGGGTTAATGCGTCAGACTGCAAAGCTGTTAGAACTGCAAGGTGGGTGGTTAAAGCTTACCAGCTGCTCCTTGAAAACACTGTACAGGGTCATTATGAGTCGGAACTGACTCGATTGTACTTAACAACAACAACATTTACCCGTGGGAAGCACAATCCCTCCATATGATAAATCCTGGACTAGGAACCACAGGTTCACAGTTCCGGCCTACCAGCCGCTTCCTAAGAGAAAGGTGAGGTTTTCCTCTGAAACCCTATGCAGAGTCCCTGTGAGTCAGAACAGATCTGAAGGCACTTAACACCAACAGTTGACCCATAGGAGTCCTGCTGTGGTGCTACAGGGTGAGCACTGGCCTGCTAACTGCAGGGTTGGCAGTTCAAATCCATCAGCCACTCCTTGGAAACCTGTATGTTATTAAATGCCATCGAGTCAGTTCTGACTTATAGCAACCCTGTATACAGTTTCCAAGGAGTGAGTGGCTGGTGGATTTGAACTGCCAACCTTGAGGCTCAAACTGACCTTGCAGTCCAGCACATTGTCCTGTAGCACCACATCAGAACTCCAAACCCAAGATTCACACACAGACACAAACATATGCTGTTAAGTGCTGTTGAGTTGGTTCTGATTAATAATGACCCTATATAGAAACCCAGGAGCTCTGGTAGCGTAGTGGTTATGAATCGGGCTGCAAACCTTAAGGTCAGCGGTTCGAAACTACCAGTCGATCCGTGGGAGAAAGATGAGGCTTTCTACTCCTGTAAAGATTTACACCCTCGGAAACCCTGTGCAGGGTCACTATGGGTCGGAACCGACTCGACGGCACTTAACAACAACAACAACATATAGAAACCCTAGATAGGGTCACTATTAATTGGAACCGGCCTGACAGCACTTAGCAACCATATATGTGTGTATATTTTGGAGTACTGGTGACTCTGTAGGATAAGCACTGGACTGCTAATCACAAGGTTGGCAGTTCAAACCTACCAGCCTCTCCGAGGGAGAAAGATGAGGCTGCACCCTGCAAAGCTTACAGCCTCAGAAGCCCTATACAGTTGAGTCCCTTGCCTCATTTTATTATTATTATCATTAATTTATTACTATTGTTTCAGGTGGGATGGCAACTAAAGAACCTGGTGAAAAAATTGAGAGAGAACCCTACGGGAGTTGTACTATTGCTTAAGAAGCGCCCTGCAGGTTCCTTCAACTTCACTCCCGCTCCGCTGAAAAACCTGCGATGGAAGCCACCACTTGTGCAGGTACATTATGGGGCATGGCTCTTCCCCCGGCATTGGCACCGACGCCACAGCAATACTTGGTTTGTCTCCAAAAAGAAAGGTTAAAATGCTGCAGTCCTACTCATGTGACAGTATTAACTCTGGAGAGGCACTGGACAACATGGTAACCACCAGCCACATGGGACAATCTGCTTCTGAATGCATATGTTATGTAAAAGCACACATTCGCTTCCTCTGTCCCAGTGGCCGCATTTACGGTGTTTCTAGTCTCCTCTGACTAATGGCTGTGGTCGTGTCTGGCAGAGACGTAGGTGTTTTCAACATCTCAGAAAATTCATCTTTGCTTTTCTCACTGATTTCAGACATGTACCTATGTACAGTTGGAACACTAAGCTAAGAGAGATTAGTCTTAACCAAGGAACCCTGTTGGTACAGTGGTTAAATGCTTGTCTGTTAACCATAAGGTCAGTGGTTTCAACCCACACAGCCACTCTGAGGGAGAAAAGATCTGGCCGTCTGCTTCCTTGGACACCCTATGGGGTAGTTTTAGTCTGTCTACTATAGGGTTGCCCTGAGTCTGAATCCACTTCACCCCACAACAAAGATGTGTGTGCATTGGGGGAACAGCCCACCACTGGAAAGGAGGATTTTGCCCCTGACATGGTTTAGAGTTGCCAGTATATGGTGATAAAGAGAGCAGACTGACGTGTGATGTGTTTTACTATCTATAAATGCTCTGCAGACAGCATGCTCCCTTCTTGCCGGCACCTAGGTGGCTGTGGGGTGCTCATGCTCACTAGCCCCCGGTCCTTTGTGTTTATTTCTGATATGATGATGTACTGTTAGAGTATGCAGATCACAGTGTCCTTGTGATGAACTGTGGTTTTACTGCAGAGCTCCACATACAAGGAGCTGTAGTCTCGGACTATCAGTTTGGACGTACACTGATACTGCCAACACTGAAGATGTGGCCACCTGTGTTCCTTACAGGGAGGGTTTAAAAATAAAGAACACCATGACACCTGTGGCTAACAAACTTGTCTACCAACTGAAAGGATAGAGGTTTAAGTTCACCCAGAGACACCTTATGGACTCCAGGTGTGGCACTGTAGGATAAGCACGGGACTGCTGGCTGCAAGGTCAGTGGTCTAAACCCACCAGCTGCTCTTTGTAAACCCTATACAGGGTCACTGTGTCAGAACCAACTGGATTTCAGTTCACAACAAGAGGCAACTTGAAAGAAGGGCCTGCCTGGTGATCTGATCCTGAATGATCCAACATTGGAATCCAGGTGGTTGCCTTGAGTTGGAATCAGTTCATTAGCAACTTCTTACAGACGCATAACCAACGTCACGTCTGAAGTCTTACCCCAGCTGCTTCGGTTTGCCTCCCCCAGTCTCAGATTTAACATCTGTCTTTTAATTGGACTTCTAGGTATGTGTTACTTAACCTAAAGAACCATTCACCAGAAGTCATTTACACAGTGTCTCACACTAGTTCCGGCAATGCATGGGGGTACACGCTGTGTTCTGAAGAAGGGAGCTGGGTGTGGACCCTGTGGGTTAGGACACCTCTAGCCAGGTGAGGTAGAACTCTTGGAGTTTGTTAGGGTGTGTGGGATTATTGGCAGATGGAAGATGCGTGTTGTGGAAGGGATGATGGAATTCTTGACACACACACACGCCCAAAAAATATGACTCTACTTGCATTTGAGAGCAGCTAAGTCTTGGGCAAGGTTTTCTAGAAGCAGCGTTGGAGACAGATTCTTTTGACAGTGGGTTTTGAGGGGGAAATCCTGTAAGAGAAAGAGACAGGCAGAATAGGGAGGGAAACCTGTAGGAGATGCTTTGAGGTGAAGGCGTGGTGTCCTCAAGCTGATTTTGACTCATGGTAACCTCCCGTAACAGAGTAGAACTGCCCCAAACGGCTTCCTAGACTGTCATTGCTCCTGGAGCCAATGGCCTGGTCTTTTAGCCACTAGATGCGTTTGACCTGCCAACCTTTCTTTCAGCAGCTGAGTACTTAGCCGTTGTGCCATTACCCTTGGCCTTGGCTTATTCACTGGGACTAGATTTCCTGATATAACTCGAAATACCCCGAAGCAGGGCTCCTCAGGAGGGTTGGCTCTGCCAACAGAGGGCAGTTCTCCGGAAAAGGGGGGCGGTGGTTTGGAAAGGGCTCCGTGAGACCCCACAGCCCCCATACAGGGATGCATAGGTGAGACTCCCTGAAACAGAGGATGGGAGATGAAGTTGGGCTGGTAAGCTGAGACATTGCAATGCCAAACTCAAGCTTTGTGCCCTTCCTGCCAGCTTGTAGGGTTTGGGGACAACGCACGTGAGCGCTTACAGCCACCCCAAGTTTCCTTCTGACCTAGGAGAAGGGTCACTGTCGAAGCGCTAAGAGGCTGTTTGACCGTTTTTCCGTGAACTGTCCCTGCGATATGCCCAGGCTTCCTTCCACATGTCCACTCACAGATAAATGCTCTTTTATACTTGTGCAGCCCCCACGGGCTCTTCTCTGTGCTTTATGGCTCGGTGTTCTTTATGCCTGGAGCCCACCCCTCCTGGAGGGATTTTCTTCAGTTCTTTTCAGCGTGATTATTGTTGTCCTGGAGGTGCTGTGGGATAGGCGCTGGACTGCTAACCACAACATTAGGGGTTCAAACCCACCAGCTGCTCCACAGGACACGGGTGAGGCTGTCTGTGCCTGTAAAGGTTTCTGTCTCTTTAACCCTGAGGACGGACGTGCTGTGAGTCAGAACTGACTTGATGGCTGTGAGTTTATTGCTGTCCTGCCACTAAAAAGGTCTTTGTTTTTAAGCCTTGTTGGTAAGTGCCATACAGGTGTTTGTGACCCTTAGCAACACTGTATTGGGTTTCTGAGGAACAGCTGGTGAGTTTGAACCACTGACCTTGCAGTTCAAACCAACCTTGCAGTCCAGCAACGCCAGTCAACGAGGAATCTTAATACGGAACATCTATTTTTACTGCAGTAAATAGATTTGTAGGAAAACACTTGCCATTCCAACAATTTCATATGTATGATTGTTGTTATGTGCCGTGGAGTCGGTTCCGACTCATAGTGACCCTGTACAGGATTTCTGAGGCTGTAAATCTTTACGGGAGCAGAAAGCCTCCTCTTTCTCCCACGGAATAGCTGGTAGTTTCAAACTGCTGACCTGGAGGATAGCAGCCCTATTCGTAACCACTAGGCTACAGTGACATTAATGATTGCTGTAGGAGAAGCAGTTAAAGCTCACCTCAGAAACCCTATACAGGGTCGCTATGTCTCAGAACGGACACCACAGCACTTAACAACAGCAACAATGAAGATATTCATTATGTTGTTCAACCTTTGCTCTTAATTGTTCCCCTGTTTTTCTATCACCCTTAAGAGAAGCTCAGTGTCCCTTAAGCATTGTGCCTTTCTCTCCCCTGCTAACCCCTAATAATATTAGATCAGCATACATTTGCCTTTTAGTTCAAAAAAGTAGGATCCTACCATGTGACACATTTGCTCAGCAGGAAGCTCACAATCTGGCTGTCTTGTGAATCAGGAATTGGTTTCTCTATGTGGCCCAGTCACATTCCAGTCCCGGGGACCAACCATTCTGTGAGAATTCTCCAGTGTACCTTAGCTTCTGAGGTTCTGAGGGCCCAGAGCTGACATGTCTTAAGACCTTCTGAGATGCTTATCCAGTTCTGTTGAGTGGGGCTCACAGATGATGTGTTAGCAGCCCAGATTGAAGCTATGGAGAAGACATTTTTGGGGCGTCAAGACCACATTTCTCTGTGCCTCAGTGTTACAAAGGGGCTGTCACTCTGTGGGACTCCAGAGGCTACTTCTAGCTCATTCCACATGGACTATGCCAGTCACATTCTCAGTTCTGGAATGTTCTCCAACACAACCCAGACTAGACAGGAATGAAAAACAAAAACAGATGGATGTTGAGCCCATTTTGACTCACGGTGTGAGTTTTGGACGCAGACTTCCAGTCTTTCTTCCTAATCCATCTTCATCTGGAAGCTCTGCTGAGGCCTGGTCAGCATCGTGGCCACACCCAAGCCTCCACTGACTGTCAGCATTCACACCCACATCTCCTGTATGTTGTTGCTGTTGTTACGTGTCGTCGAATCGTTTCCAACTTAACAGCGACCCTCTATAGGGTTCCTGAGAGCAGCTGGTGGGTTTGAACTGCTGACTTGGCAATTAGCAGTCCTGTGCTTTATCCCACAGTACCACACCAGTGCTCCAGGAGTTCAGCATGGAAGAGAGAACTCTACCATGAAGCCACTGTGCATCCAGTCTTCCCAAAAGCTCTCGGTTAACTCTGAGTATCCCAAAGAACCATTTAAGTTGAATATGGCATACCACTGTAAATGCATGGTGGCCTTGTCCTAGTTCTGGTGACAGCTTCTCCCCTGCTCTCATTTCAGACCTCTCCTCCACCCACGACAACCCAATCCCCCGGGAGTACCATGGATACCTCGCTGAAGAAGGAGAAGCCAGCCATCTTGGATCTATACATCCCTCCTCCACCTTCTGTGCCCTACTCACCCCGGTATGTGTACGTCTGTTCTCACTCTCTTGGTAGACACCATGCCTCCTGCACATGGAGATGCGCAGAGGTGTGATGGGAGACCACAATGAGATGGCTGGAGGGAGATACTGAGCTATGGCAGTCTTCACGCCTTGTGAAGTCTGCCCCGGATACTATAGGGGCAGTGTAGAGAAGTATAAGGGCAGACTAGGCTTAGTTAATGGGCAGGTCCAGGTGGATAGGGGGACTCTATAAGAAAAGCAGACTAACATGTTTTACTTAGTAAAAATTTACAACTTGCGTCCTCAGGGGTGGGTGCACATTGTGAAGACCTTGTCTTGGGACTGTCTGGGGATCTGGTTTCTACTTCAGGAACCATAGGGGCAAAGCATTTCTGCATAGGGGCATCATGAATATCTCTGTAAGATAAATGAAAATTACCACTGCATTTTTTCAGAGAGCAATGTGTTCTTCTTCATAGGTCTTAAAACAAAACTGTGAGTGGAGGTGTTGCGGGTGTGTGTATGTGAGTGACCATAAGGTCTTCAAGTTTGTTTTCTTCATGGCTCTCCCAAAAGCATGAAATGTGTGCTGCACAGTACAGGAGGCTGGGTATACCAGATTGTGTACAGGTCATGATTTAGAGATGGAATTCAGGCTTGTTTGTATCAACTCACGTGTTGATAAAAGTATTTAGTGAGTGTATACAGAGCAGATCTGATCTTTGCTTCCAGAAAGTTTCCAGTGTCTTCACTTGGTTGTTCGAGGATAAACTGAGAACTGTTTGATTCTGCTATAATTGTTCAAAGACAAAGTTCAGGCTCAACTTGTAGTGATAGTTTTCTTTGTGTCTGATTGTTACTTGTGCTTGTTTTCAGCCGAGCTATTTGCTTCTGTTGTATTTCTTCCCTGAATACAAAGAAGAGTTAGCATCAGCTGGTTCCGCTGTAGGATAAGCACCAGACTGCTAATAGTGAGGCCAGCAGTTCAAACCCCCATCGTCTCCACAGGAGAAAGATAAGGCTCTCTGCTCCTATAAAGACTTACAATCTGGGAAACCCTATACTGGGTCGTTGTGAGTTGAAATTGACTTGATAGTATTAGGTCATGGGTCCTGTCTTTGATTTTGACTACTTGTTAAGTGTTGTCAAATTGGTTCCAACTCATAGTGACCCAATATAGAGTTTCCGATAAGTAACTGGTGAGTTTGAACCGCTGACCTTGTGGTTCTGCACATATCCTATAGTGCCACACCAGGACTCCCTGATCTTGATTTGCCAAGCATTTATTGTAGCACGTAGAGAAGTTACCTGAAGAGGTAGACAGCTCTTTGCCCTTTATTTACAGACCAGCATGTGGAGATTGGGTCTTACACACAGAGAATGTAGAATGTCACTGAGGGCCAAATGTATGCATTGTTCTTCCTACACAAACTGTAGAGCCCCACTCTCCCCGCCCAACCTCACTCGGAACCCTGAATGTTCTTATCTGTAATCCTCAGTCAAGGGTCACAGAAGCAGAGAGTAGAAAACGCATGCCTATACTGTTGTTACCGCTGCCAGTAGCTGTCGAGTCGATTCAGATTCAGAGTGATCCTGTAGAACAGCGTTCCGAGACTGGAATCGTTAGAAGAGCAGATTGTCAGGACTTTATCTCATGGGGCCACTGGGTGGGTTCAAACCGCTAACCTTTCTGTTAACACTAGAGCGCTTACCCTTTGCGCCAAAGAGAACTGTAGCTTTTAATTTGTCTGTGGGAGGAACTCATATACACAAACCAGTGAAGGGTGATGGGGGTGATGGGAGTGATGATGGTGTGCCGTGAAGTCGGTTCCGACTCACAGCGACCCTCTAAAGGGTTTCTGAGGCTGTCAATCTTTACAGGAGCAGAAAGCCCCATCTTTCTCCTATGGAACCGCTGATAGTTTTGAACTGTTGACCTAGCTGTTAGCAACCCAGTTTATAATCCACAGTGCTGCCAGGTGTCCTGGTGCGGCGCTGTGGGTTAGTGCGCTGGACTGCAAAGTTGATTTGAACCATGAAGTCAACAGTTCAGGCTCACCAGCCGCTCCTTGAAAACTCTATACAGGGTCGCTGTGGGTCGGAACCGACTTGACAGTACTTAACAACAACCAAGGCTCCTTAACGAAGGGTAAATTCTTGGAATAAAAAATGCAAATATATTACAGAGAAACTGTAGTTAGTCACCAAAGCTTGATGAGTAGGGAAGCCAGGAAGTTAGGAAGTAGATTTGTGACAGAAATGAGTGTGTGGTATTGCAGGTTCACCTCAGAATACTGGGATCAGCAAGGCTGATCCTTGAATCACCTTTGGACTTGATGGATTCTGTATTTTCTCTCATTGCTTTTAAATTGATTATCGAATGAACCTGGTAAGTGCAAAAAGTTTAACCAGCGAGTGACTTGGACTCAGCTAAATGGATTTTGCTTTTGATTATCAGCTGTCACTTTGATAGAATTAGGTTGGAATTGGTGGTCAAACGTTTGCCAGCTACTGTATTTAGTTCAGAAAATAGACACTCTTCATTGATGGCTATAAAGTCCCCTTTGCATTTCTTGACATAGTTTAAAAATCTTTACTCAACGAGAGTCCTCTTTGCCAGATCTTGGCAAAGATACTACTGGCAGGAAGAAGATAATTCAATAGATTGTACTTGAACTTGTGATTCTTGAAGTAAATAGGAAATATAATTACAGACACCCAGAGACATACAGCTACCTTTTCTAAAGTCTCTCTGTAGCATTTAGACAGCTATGAAAAAATTTCACCTACTCATATTTAATGGGGTCATGGTGTTGTTGTTGTTGTTGTTGTTATGTGCCTTCAAGTTGGTTCTGACCCACAGTGACCCTGAACAGGATTTCTGAAGCTATAAATCTTTACGGGAGCAGAAAGCCTCATCTTTCTCCCACGGAGCAGCTGGTAGTTTCGAACTGCTGACCTTGCAGTTTGCAGTCTGATTCGTAACCACTACGCTACCAGAGCTCCTGGGGTCATAGTAGGTGCTCTTATTTAATATGGCCTCTATGATTGCTTAAGCTCCATGAGTCAACACAATGTACCTGTTGGAGAGGCAACTGGGGTTGAAAAGACCGTGCGTTTTCCCTCTGGTAGTAAAAAGAGGATTTCAGTTGTTTTCTGTGTGCTGGCTGGTCAAAGCCTGACTCTTAGGTTTCTTCAATTTGAGTGGATCTGTGGATACAGTGATCATACTTTATCTTCCAGGGATGAGAAGGGGAGCTGTGTTTATGGAGGACTTAGTAAGTCCAAGCAGCCATCGTCTGGCCCCAAGAGATCAGAGTCCCCAAATTCCTTCCTTGACCAGGAGAACCGAAGACGAAGATTTACCATTGCTGATTCTGACCCACTGCCTGGGTATTCAGTGGAAACCAGTGTTCTGCCCACAAAAATGAGAGAGAAAACCCCATCTTATGGTAAGTTTCCGAGTGTCTGTTTGGTTCTGCTGTTGGCTTTTGCTTTCTTTCCTCACCCCTTTCTTATTTGGAATGGTGAGGTGAGTTTAGCATTCTGGAAGGGTAATGCTAAACAAACACAAACCTCAGTGAAATGCAAAGTGTGAGATCTTTATTCATGTTCCTGAAGCGGATGGAGCCTGGTGTCTGGCATCAAAGTCCAGCTAGAGACAATCTGATTACAACATTCAGCATTCAGTGCCTGAGTTTTGACTTGGGAGTTGCCTTGCTCGGTAGACATGCAGCATCTTCAGCATGCCTCTGTCCTCGCTGCTTGCATTGGAAATGCTTTGCTTGGATATTCTTCCTTTCTTTTAAAAATATATCATTGCTTCTGCTGTGAGGTTGCTAATCTGTGGGATCAGAGTTATACATAAAGGGAGGGTTCTCTGAAGCTCATAAACTGGCCAACTGTCTCCCCTTTTTCTCATCCTCCCCGTTCAGGTAAGCCTCGGCCTCTGTCCATGCCTGCGGACGGGAGCTGGATGGGGATCGTGGACCCTTTTGCTAGACCTCGAGGCCACGGGAGGAAAGGTAGGTTCCCGCTAAGCCAACCAAAAAGCAAATACAGGGAGATGAACGACCCAGGGCCTGATTTCAGCTTGATGCTTGAAAAACATCTGCTGGAAAGTTACCTGTCTTATGAAGAGGAGAGCTCGAGTGTGTCAGTGTAGAACTGTGCTCCGTACTGTTGGCAATGGCTGGTTTTTCACAAGGAGATTGCCAGGTCTTTCTTCTGTGGAGCCTCTGGGTGGACTTGAATCTCCAACCTTTTAGTTAGCAAACAAGCATGTTAACCGTTTGCCACCACCCAGAGACTCATAAAGAGGTCTAGTGTGGCGCTGTGTGGTAAGCACTGGACTGCTAACCACAAGGTTGATGGTTCAAACCCACCAACCACTCTTTGGAAACCCTATATAGGGTCTTTGTGAGTTGGAACCAACTCAGTAGCACTTAACAACAAAGGACTCATAAAAATTGAAATAACTGGGTATAATACTAAGCCTTTTTGAACCTCATTTTCTCACCTCAAAATCAGGTTTGGGGAAGTGCAGTGGCTCTATAGGCTAAGCACGGGACTGTGAACCACAAGGTCAGTGGTTTGAGCCCACCAGCTGCTCCTCGGGAGAAAAATGAGGCTTTCGCACCCAGAAAGATTTAAAAGCCTTGGAAAACACTGTACAGGGTTGCTATGAGTAGGAACCGACTTGATGGCACCTAAAAACAACAACAGAATGAGCTTTGCTGATGACTGCTAACTTTGTTTATTAAAAATAGCAGACTGTTCTGATCCCGTTGTGTGTAGTTGAGTTGGTTCTGACTCATGGACACCCTTTATAGGGTTTCTGAGAGCAGCTGGTGGATTTGAACCCCCGACCTTGTGGTTACCACTTCAGTACTTATCCTACAGTGGCATGCCCGGGCCCAATTAGAATCCTGGTGACTCTAACTATCCTAATAAGTCTTGTATGTTTTAAAAGGGGGCAGGAAGTGACAACCTTGTTTTCAAACAGCCGAAATAAATTGTTCATGAAGTAATCTCATCCTGAATTTTATGAATGTTGTTGTTAGAGTCAGTTTGATTTCTGATGAACAAATATTTTGTGTCCCCCCCCCCCTTTCCAAATCTTCTCAGTGTTAGAGAATAATGACTCTTTGAACAGAAATTGTTTCATTTCCTGTAATCAAAGTTTCTGGCTATTAAAACTAGTCTTGACAGAAATGTTTATGAATATTCTTATTTTTGCCAAATAAGCTGATGATTATCAGCATATTGTTGTTGCTTTTAAGTGCCATCAAGTTGGTTCTGACTCATAGCGACCCTATATAGGATTTCCGAGGAGCAGCAGGTGGGTTTGAACTGCCGACCCAGCAGTTAGCAGTCTACTGCTTACTCTTCAGTGCTACACCAGGACTGCAATAGCACATTAGGACACTGTAGTTACAGGGCTGAAACAGAGCAGGTAAGAAGCTACACCAGCCTTAGCTAGTAGAAAGAAGGGAGTTCTAGAGGCCCGTCCAGCCCTGACATCGGCAGCTGACCTGGCAGAGTTGGTCAGCTGGATTCCTGTGTGCGCTGGATCATGCTCCAGTGAGGACAGAGAAATGCCCGTCTGCATTCAGACACACAGACGCCCACCCGGATTCCGTCCCTGAAAATCTGTGGAGCTGTCAGCAGGTGGCAGGACTGTCCTTTGTTTAGACTTTTGAATGGTGACATCCTCACTGCCAGCCTTTCGCATTGTGGTTTTGTCTTCTCCTTGTCCTTACCTATTGAAGAGGAGTCCTGGTGGCACATTGGGTTAAGCATTGGCCTGGTAACCCACAAGGTCAGCAGTCCAAGTCCACTGGTCTCTCTGAGGCAGTCTGAGAGACCCTAGTGTTACTCTGGCTTTCTTAGGTGCCGTCCAGTCGGTTCCGACCCCTAGCTCAACAGAACGAAGTACTGCCCGGTTCTGTGCCTCCCTCACCGTCACTGTTATTACTGAGTCAGTCCGTCCTGCTGGGGGTCTGTGTCCTTACATGGTTGTTAAGGGTCAGCATGCACACCTAGGCGCTGGGTGTGGTTTATGTACTGAGAGTCTGGAAGTGCTGAAGTTGTAGATGGAGCATGACTTAGCCCCTAACCCCTCCTTCTAGGGTTTCTTATTATAATTATTTTGCAATGAAAGTTGTACACACACGATGAACTTCCTCTTTTTTTGAACAACAGCTTTGTGGAGGTAAACGTCACCCTTTTAAAATACATGATTCTTAAGAAGCACCCTCACCACTACCTAATTCCAGATCATTTCCTTGGCTTCAGAAAGAAGCGCTCTCCTGCCATCAGGCATTTCCTGCCACCCTCACCTTCGTGACTTGCCCCGTTCTTGACACATCATGTAGCTGGAACCCTACAATGTGTAGCCTTTTGACAATGAACACGTTTTGAGAGTGATTTCCCCTCGATTACAAAAGCAGAACAAGTATGTTATAAAACATCTAGAGGGTGGAGGAAAAAAACCTCACTTGAATCTGCTTCGCAGACTGAGGTAGAAATGGAATCGCTGGGCCTGAGGAATGCTGGGATTACCAAAGTACCGTGCATTCTCATTCCATCCCTCCCCAGCACGACCATTCACCCTTCAAGCATGGTTGGACATTAAAATCCTTGAACTCCATATAGGTGAGGTGAATCGTGCTTGCTGCCCTTGGTTCTCATCCTTTCTGAATGCCCCGAGGTTGCTCCCTGGATAAGAGCATCTGCTCAGGAGATGCTGCCTGCACTGCTGATACCATTGGGCAGGGGACTCAGGCCAGCAGAGGTGATATTAGAGGTCTTTTGTGTTCCTTTTTGACTTCAAGTGAAAATTGTGAAACTTGTTACACCAGGACGTGTGGGGTGCTTTGGGTTGTCTGATTCTGTCCTGTCACCTCACAGGAAGATCTTGTTGGGATTGGGTGTTGGTGGAGTCAGTTCTGATTCATAGTGACTGCATGTGACAGAGTCGACTCAATGACACTTAATGATAACAGTCTTTATATTCAGGGTTGCTATGAGTCAGAACTTACTTGATGACACAAACAACAACAACAACAACAACAACAACAACAAATCTCTGTAGAAGATGGTCAGGTCTTTCTCCAGTCGAGTGGGTGAGTTTGAACTGCCAACCTTTCAGTCAGTAGTTTAGTGACAAATCTCTGTAGAAGATGGTCAGGTCTTTCTCCAGTCGAGTGGGTGAGTTTGAACTGCCAACCTTTCAGTCAGTAGTTTAGTGCTTAACCATCACACACGAGAGCTCCTTGAAATGACATGAGTCTGTGTAAGCATTTCTGACTCTCTAAACACCTGGTCTACTGCCTCTCAGATTGTCTGGGCCTTGTCATCTGCGAGGCCTTGTGGCATACCAGGATGGCAAGCAGGATCTGAAATAAACTTTCAGAAATTCTGTTAGAAGTTCCAATAGGTGAGGTCCACTTCACAGCTTGGTTTGGTGGATGGTTGTGTGAGTTCTCTAGTGCTGCGAGATGGACGTGGATTCAGTGGATGGCTTTGACAAACAGCATTGTCCCCATAGTGTAAGAGGTGAGAAGTCTGAGTTCAGGGAAGGCTTCCTGTCTCTGGTGGCTCACAGTTTAGAAGCAGGCTCTTTGTATCTCCATGTGTCTTGGCATCAGTCTTCCCCTGGCTCTACGAGGTTCTCAGTGCAGGGACCCCGGGTGCAAGAGATGTTCCCGACTCCCAGTTCTTCTTTCTTAGTAGCATCGAGGTCCTTCTGAGCTCTGCTCCCTTGTTCAATAGAGTGCTGAAGGATCATCACTGGACCGAAAGGTTGGCAGTTCAAACCCACCAGCCACTCCTCAGAAACCCTGTACATGGCAGCTATGAGTTGGAACCAACACTTAACAATAACAACATATCCCAAAAGAGATGGATCCAAGATCCAGCCTAATCATATAGATCGCACCATGCCTTATTAACATACTGGCCTTTAATTGTGCCTTCATGATCATCATAAAGGTGAGGATTCACAACACATAGGATCGTTGTATCAGATCCCAAAATGCAGGATAATTACACAGTACTGAGAATCATGGTCCGACCATGTTGCCACGTTGGAGGGACACAATTTGTCACAAGGTCTTCTTAATGCAGATGTTGATTTTGTCTGGCAACAGGTGAGGACGCCCTCTGTCGGTACTTCAGCAATGAGCGGATCCCTCCTATTGTTGAAGAAAGCGCCTCTCCCCACTACCGTTTCTCCAGACCCTCTGCAGAGAGGCATCTTGTTCGAGGTGCCGACTATATCCGAGGCAGCCGATGCTACATCAATTCAGACCTCCACAGCAGCGCCACGATTCCATTCCAGGAGGACGGGACCAGAAAGAAAGCCACTTCCTCCTCCTCCAAGTCGTCCTCCACAGAGCCCTCACTGCTGGTCAGCTGGTTTACTAGGCTCAAACTTTTGACTCACTGAAAGCAGTTTCTGTGAACTCCTCCCTGCCTCCTGTACCGAGTGCCTTGCTCCCCAGCCGACAACTTGTTCTTATTTTCATCTACAGTATTAAGTAGCGACCTCATGTCATTTCATTGGTTTGGAACATTGTATACTGCTTTTCTTGGGATTTTGAGGTGATTGATTGGGGAAAAACGCAGAGGATCTTGGGTCCTGGCCTATGGAGGCAGAAGTAAGGGAACAGTAGGATCTGCTTTTCTTGCTTCACTGGAGTTAGGACGTTGACCTTCCATACATGACATGGCGCTTTGGCCAGGAAGGCTGTGGTTATTGTGAGAAACTGGTGGCGTATGTTTTTGGGGTGGGTTGGTAGAACTAAGATGGATGGGCCATTGTCACACAGATGTATTGTTTTGTGATCCAATTTCTTTACCAGAAAAGCCAGCGGCAATGAGATCTTTCCCTGCTGGCCACCTTTGTAAGTACAGCAACACTGGGTTTGAAATTGACAAGTAGGCCTATCTGGTGGTCTTCCGAAGCAGAGATCTGAGTGTTGGTCTCAGGATAAGTCAGATACTACAGAAACGTGAACCCGATACGGGTTATTATACACAAAGTGCAGTTTGTGGTTATTTTTGAGGGGTGTTGTTGTATATTTGTCTTTAAGGGGGAAAAGCTACAGGATTTGCTGGCGGCCAAAGCACCATTCAGACAAAGAAAGTGACAGCTTTTAGGATAGGAATGACCCATCAGTTTACATTTGACCTGCACAATGTCTGTCTGTCCTTCAGAAAAACACAAAACAAAACACATACAGTTCTTCAAAATTCTACACCTTGTGCTGATTAGAAAGATCTTGGAACATCTCACAGTCACTAATTTTCAACTAGCATCTGATACTTTGGAAAAGTGTGTCTGGAAATGACCTCTTCGGTTTAAACGGAATGTATGATATTTTGTTAGAGCTATTTAAGTGTTTTAAATATAGCTGTATATTTTTCTTACTCCTAGTTACATGCACTTGAAAGTATTTCTGTTCTGCGTCAGACATGAAACTAATGATGAAGACTGTTGGAGATGTTTGCGCATTTACACGTGACCACCATGGCTATTGCCATCATTTCAAAAACAAAAACAAAAAAAAAGCAAAACAAAAAATAAAGTCTCATAAACAATTTTGAATTTTATGAATTAGAAGTAGGGGAACTGAAAAATTAATCAGGGAAATGGATTGAGATGCCGTTTTAGGCAGAGGTGGTGGTGTTAAGTGCCGCTGAGTCAATTCTGACCCATAGTGACCCTGTATAGGGTTTCCGAGGAGCAGCTGGTGAGCTTGAACTGCTGATCTTGATGTTCAAAGGACTTTGCTGTCTGACGCATTAACCCACAGCACCACACCAGGACTCCAAGGCAGAGATGTTACCCCTGAAATTCAACCTATGAGAGATTGAATGGTGTTGATTAACATCTTCCCTTCAAAATCCTCCTGGTAGGGTTGTTGTTAAGTGCCCATCGAATTGGTTCTAAGTCATAGCGACCTTGTACAGGTTTTCTGAGGAGCAGCTGGTGGGTTTAAACTGCTGACCTTGTGGTTTGAAATCCAGTGCTGATCCTATAACGCCACACCAGAAATCCTACACATACGTTAATGTAATTGAATTCAGTTAAACAACTTTCATGTCAAGCTCTAAATGAACAGCAGTGAAGATACAGGTGATTCAAGGGCATCAGAGGGAGCCGGGAAAATTGAGGGATAGACTGAGGCTTGGAGTGTGTGATTTGTTGGGGGCTTAGCATGATGTAAGGGTTGAATGGGGAGGGTGGCAGATCAGTAGTAGGACTTGTGACCAGGAGGGAGTGAGGTGAACCCCTTGCCCATTTCAGTGTTAACCTGAAATGAGGAGAGGGGGTGAAAACCTGGGCCTGGGGTGGACTCCCGGTACTGAGGTTCGGGGCATAATGAGGAGAGAGTGGTGGAGGTCACTCTCAACTGGCAGGGTGGCCTCTTTCTGTGAGGAAAATGCCACAAATGCCCAACTTCACAGTGGATCTTCAGGCGTCAGTCTGTCTACAGGATGGTACCAGTCTTGGCTGCCTGTACCACATGGACGGTTCTCAGATCTTGTTTCATGAAGCGTTGGTGGAGGCCAGAGAGCTTCCTGGGCCCCTTGTCTTCACTAGCCTCTGCTGCTGTGTTTTCATTTCAGATTTTCTCTTGAATTGTGTTTGAAAAATACATCACTGATAAGAAAAACTTGCAGAACTCTGGAGATAGGTCACCAATCGCTTAATACTAATTCCTCAGAAATTAATAGTAACCTCTAGCCTGACTCCAGGTTTAAAATGGTGGTTGTTATTGTTCGGTGCTGTTGAGTTGGTTCTGACCCATAACGACCCTATTATGTACAACAGAGTCAAACCCCACCTGATCCTACACCGTCCTCACAGTTGCTACTCTGCATGAACCCATTACTGCTGCCACTGTGCCAGTCCGTTTCGTGGGGGCAGGTAGGGCCTCCCTCTATTTCCTTACCAAGCAAGATGTTCTTCTCCAGGGACTGGTATCAGAGACGAAATCTGGCCTTCTTGGCTTCCAAGGAGCATTTTGGTTGTACTTCTTCCAACACAGATTTGTTTGTTCTTCTGGCAGTCCATGGTACCTTTAATATTCTTTACCAACCCTATAACTCAAGTTCGTCAGTTCTTCTGCGTTCTTCCTTATTGATTGTCCAACTTTCACATGCATATGAGGGTATTGTAGCTTCGGTCAGCCTTACTTTAGTCTTCAAACAGACATCTTTGCCATGTTTAATAGTACACCACATGATCACACACACATGCAGAAAGGCAATCTGTGAATAACACTTTAGAACAATGCTGTTTTAGCCCTACCAGACCCAACAACACACACACCCCTTTTCATAGTGGATCACTTACTGCATCATTTCACAATCCTCAAGTGAAAATTGTGGATAATTAAACTCACCTTTAACATGACAGCATCACACATTTACTGTTCTGAAATGAGATTGATAATGTAACTGACCTGTACACATATGTCAATATGGTGTTCTGTGACAGAAGCAAATAGAAACATAGAAACATTATGTAATGCAATAATTACTGTGTAAATGCTCTAGCTTGATTATATTATAAGATGCAAAAGAATAACTAATGAACCCAAGCACATATTTGTGCCTATATATAAGCTGTCCATCGATGTAGAAGCTACATATATAGACCTGCCATGTTGCTAAGCTAACACCAGAATAGAATTGATGTCAGGGATATGGTTTTCTAAAATGTGGCCAGTTCTGGAGGTGCAGTGGTGGGCAGTTCAAACCCACCAGCCGCTTTGTGGGAGAAAGATGTGGCAGTCCACATCCATAAAGACTTAACAGCCTTGGAAACACTATGGGGTGGTTCTCTTCCGACATCCATTCTGGCCTTTTCTTTCTTGCTTACTTTCTTATTGACATTTTGCTTTCTTCCTATATGATGTTCTTGATGATGTCTGTTATTTGAACATTAGTATCTAATGCATCCAATCTGTTCTTAAAAGGATTTCTAATTTCAGGAGGGATACATTCAAGGTCATGTTTTGGCTCTCATGGACTTGTTTTCATTTTCTTAGCTTCAGATTGAACTTGCATATGAACAAATGATCATCTGTTCCACACAGTCTGCCCCTGGTTTTGTTCTGGCTGATGGCATGGAGCTTTTTCACCGTCTTTCTCCACAGATTCCATCAATTTGATTTCTGTGTATTTCATCTGGTGACGTCAATTTGTATAATCAATTGTCTCTTATATTGCTTTAAAAATGTATTTGCAATGAGAAGTCATTGGTCTTCCAAAATTCTACCATGCGATCTTCAGCATTATTTCTATCACTAAGGGCATTTTTTCCAACTACTTACCTTTCTTATTTGTTTCTACTCTTTGCATGCCAATCACTAGTAATTATCAATATATTTTGATTGCATGTTTGATCACTTTCAGACTGAAGAAGCTGGTGGATTTTCATTGTTACTGGTTTTAGTGGTTGGTGCAGAAATGTGAATAATAGAACATACATTTGAATAATAGTGGTATTAACTGCTCTTCCTTGTCTGCATATGGGTATTTTCCTGTCACAGAGGGATCTTGAAAGGTTGTATTTGATGATGAATGCAAGACCATTCCTTTCTAATTTGTCATTCCAGGCATATTAAACCATGTGATTTTCAGATTCAAAATTTCCAATACCAGTCCATTACAGCTCATTAATGCCTGTGATATCGATTATATGCATTGCTTTTCATTTTTACAACTTCCGATTTTCTTAGATTCAGTGTCGTAATTCCATGTTTCAGTTATTAATGGATGTTCGCAGCTGTGTCTCCTCATTTTGAGTTGACCGTCTCTGCAAATGAAGGTCCCAAAAGACTTAGTCAATTCACTTCCTCATGATCTACTCTACTTTGAAGAGGGCTCTTCCCCAGTCATATTTTGAGTGCCTTCCAACCTGAGGGGCTCATCTTCTGGCACTATATCTGACAATATTCTGGTGTTCTTCATCATGTTTTAATATTCAGTATTCTGGTGCTATCTGACAGTGTTCCACTGCTATTTACAGGGGTTTTTTTGTTTTTCTTTTTAAGTTTTCATTGTGAGTTGAGTGAAAGTTTACAGGGCAGATCATCAGTTTTACATTCAACAAATCATATACCTTATTTCGTTACAATTATTATAATTCCCTCCATGTACCGTCAGTTAACAGTATTTCTCTTTATTCATCTTAGCTCTTTTTTAAAAAACAAAAAACCACTCAGGTATATATAATAATTTACACCACCAAAGGGCACATTCTGCAAGCCTGCCTCCTGGTCACCAGCTCTTAGTCCCTCTCTTCCCATGAGTCTAAGAGTCCTCAGCTGCTCCCTCTCTCCATGCCCCCATCTCTGGTGGCACAAGGTTTTTAGTGGCTAAGTATTTGTAAGTAGATCCGCCTCTCCTTCTGAGTCAGTCTGGAAGCTCAGC